CTCATATACGTCTCATAACCGCAGTTCACACATATGTTTCATATGTTTGTTGTTGTTTGATTTATCATCTACGGGTTTATGTCGAATTAATTTGATGGCCTGCTCCCAGTTGGCTTGTTAGCTCAATTGGTAGAGCGCTGCACTAGTATCGCAGAGGTCAGTGGTTCGAATCCCGTACAGGCCTGAAAATTTTTTCAGGTCTGATATTCACTATTGCTCAAATAGTGCTTTACTGCGAAGGATCGTGCTCATATACGTAATACTTGTGTTATATGAATAGATAAATAGGTCGGTATTAAAATTCACAGTCCCAAGAGTACAGAGCTGAAGTTCAAAATAATAGCAGCTTACCTAATTAATCTAAAGAGCTTCTCTGAAGACTCTTTCTGCTTGACCCATCCAGTGATTAGGAAGGAAAACTTTACAAAAAAAAAAAAATTGGTAAATAATTTTAGGATTGTATTAATCATATCTACTGAAGATTTTGTATAATTTTCAAAATATCTCTCATAATTCAGAAACAAACGAACTGATACGTGCAATTTTCCCGGAACTGTCGAAGATGCCAAATCTTTCTGTCATCAAATTACCGAGTAAAGCCGGATAACTCACGACAGTTCACAAAGGTCAAACGAAGTCAAGTAAATATAGCTTCACACACACAAAAAAACGCGATCTCTTACCCGGCCGAAAACCAGTACACGTTGCGATTGAACAACTTACGGGAACAACAACTTTCGGGAACAACTTGATGTACCTCGTCTAATCACGCTTGTCCCGGCGTAAAGTTCTATTTTGCCAGAAGACATGAATCTTTCAATATTAGACTTTGTATGGCAAGCAGAACTTTATCTGACATCAGAAGTCCGAGGCAATCCTTTTTCCGTTGACTAACTGACTGAAAGCGAGGCTTGACTAGAAAGTAACTGATGACTTGACAAAGTAATTGATGACTAGAAAGTAACTAATTGAAAGGGTACCGGTTAAACATCATGAGTGTCTATGCTATCAGAATATGATAGTGTCTATTTATCTACTTCTAGCCCTCAGTCAGTTTTTGTAAATGTTATCTGGCGGAAAAGCGAGAGCCTACGAATAAATGTGTTTCTATCCCATTTTTTTGTAAAGAACAGATGAAAAAAAATGCGCAGTATTCGAGAGGAGTCCTTCCCTAGTTTGTCTGGTACGACCAAGCTAACTAGAGTGCCTTTTGCCTCAAAACTGAAATGAAAGTATTAGAAATAAAACAAGAGAAACGAAAAAAATCATAGTAGTGTCTCGTCACTATTTGAAAGGGACCAAAAATGAACCTCTCATTATCGTAAGAGGCACTTAAGAGTCCATCTTGACTAAATGGTAGTCCTTGCATCACATGAGTTCTGCTGAAATTCGTGAGATGCCGTATAAAAACTGTACTCACCGACATTTAATAAACAACATCCACAAAAAACAAAAGAAAGTCACCGGCTTTACTGGCGGTATTAAATCAAAGTACTAAAAGTAGATTATAAAAATGGCACACATTACAGTCCTGTACGTTACTTCATCTAAAAAAGAGAACAACTGTCTCCAGTTTATGTGTGCGTACGTATGTAAGAGTGCCAATCAAGTTTTAAGATATGAGATGCTGAGAGCGTTATAAAACTCTCTTCATCTGTCAATTTCATCATAAAGTTTGATTTAAGCTTACGTTAGTCTCAGCGGGAAACTTTTCCCTCTTTTACTTTTACTTGAGAAAATTTTTCTTCTCACTGAAATTGATCCCATCGGAGCTATAAAGAAACTTTAAAAACTTCACGTCTAAACCGCAAAGAGAGGAGTAGGGGTAATCAAATATAGTGGAAAGAGGTATCAGTCACTTCATGATGGTAAAATTTTCTAGGACTTCTGCACTGACTTATTCACTAATTCGTCTTGCTTGGAAACTGCCATTCGACAACTGACCACCGATTCAAAAGCAGCATAGTGTTAGCATAAAGTAAGTGTGCAAAAGGAGCAAATAAAAACCTAACGCTTGCGAGTGATTGTAAGGGAATAAGCGCCATATTATCTCACGCAGAACAAATAAACAATAAAGATCCATGGCAATGACCAAGCCAATTTGGAAAAGCGCAAATAAATTTAACGCTTAATTAAGCAACAACCCGCCATTTTACAAAAGAGTGTCCCGCCCTCAATGACGTCAATGTAAATACGTAAGATCATGTTCCGTGTGGGAAGATTTCATGAATAAGTAATAGGTCATTCGAGTCACTGTAGAGTCGCTCATGTTTGTTACGTCCGGTGACATTTCGTTTCAACAAAAACAATTACAGTTTTCTTTTTTTTGTGGTACTAGAATAGTCAGCCAGATTGGATAAGTCACGAGGAAAGGTAAGCCCTGCCCCTGTTCGGGGTAAGTGGCTCCAACGCGGGCTTTCAAGGTAAGTGAACGTTTCTTGGCGTGATTTTACTCATGCCACCACACTATCGGCACTCTACATCGCCGGTAACTACGCGATCAAAACAACTTCTAATGCGGATGCCGTTATCATCTCAACCACAATTAATCAGCTGTACTTTAATCGGCTAATTCAATCCGTATGCTGAATTGTTTCTTTTTTTTTTTAACTGTCGAACCTGCTTCTAAACAAGCAACCTACCGATTAGATGTTAGTGTATTGATTCAGGTATTCGCAACGCGCACTAGTTATATCAAATCATTCAGAAAATGAAGTCTCAGTGAGAGATTTCAAAACAATTTTAACCTCACTTAGGATTTAATTTAAACTGTTACTGAAATGTTTTGCTGAGGATTAGAGATTTTGAAAGCGCAATTGCGACTTTTAAAAAAGCGCGTGGGAAAATCTGATGTTTTGCAAAGTCAAACGCGATAGGACATTTTGAGCGGACCCGTATTGAAACCTCGATTTATACTGGAAACATGATCTGTTCTGAGAAAACACAGGAACAGTGTTTGTGCATTTGTAGTAAATGTTTATTCTTGTTAGGGACTGAACGATTTTCAAATATCGTAGCTATTATTATGACGAAAATTCCTAGGCGATAGAAAATGCAAGCACTGTCACGTATAGTATAGCATACGAGGTCCAACACAAACCACATGAAATGTTTTTGTAACGTGGGCAGCTTATACATGAGAAACGCTTTATTCTGCGCACTTCTTGCGGCTAGTGAGGTCAATTAGAAATTTAATGACTTCGAGTAATGTTATGGTGTTTCATTGTGTTTGGTTGGTTTCCTTCCATGTTTCGCGTGACCTATTGCGGCTTGAGTTCTTATTACCTTCTTTGTCACGTTAACAGAAATGCTTGATCGTATAGCTAGGCTTTTAGTCGCCTCAAATTACTCTCTGTTGTTGATTGTAGTCCAAGAATCAAGAAGGGGAAAGCGTAAGCGGCTTTCCATCGTCTTACTGATATGCTAATCGCTCAGTGGGTAATTACTAATAGGTTTGAGTTGTCACTACTTTTGTTTAACAATTGAGTTCACATTTTTATCGACACTAAAGGAATGCTCTGTTATTGTGCTTCTTTCAGTGACGAATAGAGAACGCCAGGGGCAAATTGTAGTTTTGGTCTTGAAACGCCCATTTTGGCTCTCCCTATCCCTTCATCAAATTTGTGAAAAATCTTTGCCCGAGAGTCTTTCCTTTACCATGAACAACATACGTTTCTAGAACGATATCATAGTAACTATAACATTGTTGGTATCCTTTTGTCTCGCGCTAAGGAAGCCTTTGGCCTTCATTGAGATAACATAAGACCATAGTTATGGTTCTGTGCAGGGTCATTGGTCACGTGACGTTCAAGCGAAGCTCAGAGGACAGACAATAGGCCGGCCCTTTGAAGTTTGCCGCGTTTCCTAACCAGTCCCCTCTACTAACTATGATAAGACGTAGTAAATAAGATGGAAGCTGACAGAATCCTGGAGAATATTCTTTTCCTTTCCGGAGTGTAGTAATTACATGTAATTATTTAGCAGTCGGCAAGGGTTTCGTGTGCAATATCATAGTAACGTGGTAAGCGAAGATATCGTTCATGAAATTGCATTGCGAGTAGATTTAGAGGGCCTTCGATATTCCCAGATATAAATGTTGGGAAAGAAGGATGTAAGGAAGTTAGAATTTTAATCGAAGGGATTATGCTCACATGATGATAACTGATCAATAATACTCGAGAGTCTCAACCAGCACGGTGCAACTTGTTAAGAACTGTACTTGCATAAGTAGGAAAATGGAAATACTTCTCACTCCTTTTCGATCTGTCGGCCAATGATGAAAATTGTCCAAGTGCGCGGAATGTTTGAGGTGATGTAATTGTTGTTGGGGGTGAGGGTGATTGCAAAGGGTGCTGGGCATGGCCAGTCGTTGTAATGTTGTTTTAAAATTTCCTTCACTATCATGACACCGATGACAGTGCGACGAATTTTTTTTCACGTTCGTATTTTTGCCTTATTCGTGATTTTTAGCCTTTCACGCCCACTTGATCTCGATAGTTCGAATAGATCTGAGTAGATGCCACTTCTTTCAAGTGTCTGTCATACATTCCTTATAATTTCAGCCCTAAGAATTCAGGATTAAATCGAACTTCTTCTACCAGTTGGTCATTCTAGTAATAACCTTCCCGCTTCACAATTTTTGATGTTGTGAGGAGAAATCACGCATTTTCTTCTCCTGGAAGTGTTAAACACGAAGGCGCGCTATAAAAGGAGCCTTAGGTCCCACTGGACCATTTGTCAATCAACCGTCGTGTGATGTAGAACTCTTAGAGTCAAGTCAGCTTGAGCTACAGCTACTCCAAAGCAGTGAACAGCGGGCGCATTCCTCAAAATTGTTTTATGTCTTCATCACAATACAAGAATTTTTGAGATTTGTATTTCCTTTCTCCAATGGAAACTGTCTTTATTTGTGGCGGTAAATTTGAGATCGAAGTAGGTGGTTCGCACGTTACCTCATGCCACCATGCTGGTGGAAGTAAACAATAGATATCTCATTAGCTCCTTTTGTTCGTCTACCAGCATTTAAATTTGACCCGCACACGTCAACGGTGAGTGACAAATGAGCCTAGGTCTTCCCAGGGAAGACTTCCTTATATAGCGCGCCTTCGTGTTTAA